TATTTCAAATTTTTATAGATTCAGATAAAAAGATTATAAAAAAATTTTTTATTACTTTCTTGTGATTTCAATAAATTGCAATTTTTCTAAAAATATTTTTATACATCATGTAGTAATAAATTAATCGTTTTAAGTTCTCAAGAAATTTATATCATTTGGTTCAATTTTAAAAAAGTTTTACTTGATAAACTGGTATATATATATTTTTTATGTTATATCTATTGTATAAAATAAAATAAATTATAACAAGTTGTAAAGTGTAAGTGAATAATAATTTATAATAAATAATAAATAAAAAGTCATAAATTAAAAATAGATTTTTAAATTGTTAAAATAAATTACAATCAAGTGAATATTTATTAAAATTAAAAAATATTTGTAAAATAATATTATTCTATAGAATGTATTTATAATCGTCAATTGTATTTTATAATTATATGAAATTTTATCTTATCTCAAAAAACTTTTCATATTTCATATTTTTAACAAATTATTTATAAATAAATTTAAAAACACAATAAAAAGTTAAAAATAAATATGATGATATGAAAATGAGAAAATCAATTTATTATCTAAATAAATTAATTTTTTTAAATAAGCATAAGTTTTAATTTATATTTTTTAAATAATGAATTTATTTGTTAAACATTATAAATTTATTTTGTTGTATAAATCTTACAAATTTGTTTTTTATACTCAAATTTATTATTAATAACTGTATATAATGTGTATATAATGATTCATCTATTGAAAAGTAAAAGATAAAGTAGAATATTGCAACAAGTTTTTTAAATACATCATAAAAATATAATTATCATTTTATACAAATTTACATTTGAAAAAGAATTCAAAAATAAGTGTCTGAAAAGGTTTAAAGTTTTTTTTAAATTAAAATGCTTTTACTGCAAAATCAACTTATAGAAATGAAGATTTTTCAAGGTAAATTTTAATGTCTTCATGTGGAAAATATTTTTTTCATTTAAATTTTAAGTAACTTTGAAATGGTAGATTATAAATGTAAATTTTAAATGAAAAAATTTCGTGAGCAAACATATATAGTAAATAAGTAAAATAAAATAATTAGAATACAGATAATCAATTTTTTAAAATATAAATTATAATTTACATGCAAGAAATTGGATAAATAATATTAAATAATATTAAAAGTTGATTATAATTTGACATAATATATTTCGTCAAATTTAAAATTTTTTTTCAAATTCGATTGATATTTTAATAATCAAATCGTTCACATCTTTATAAATGATTGTTTTATTTTATAATCATCACTAAATAACTGTTTTCATAGTAGTAATAAAAAAAATTTATTATTTTTTTAAATTTGTAATGTTACCATAAATTTTTATATCTATTCTAATCATTAATTATAATTCCAAATTAATTGAATAAAAATTTAATTGTTAATTGCAATTAATAATCGAAATATTGCTATTAATATAAAAATTAAAAATATTGCAATTGCAACAAGAAGAAAGGCCGAGAATCATATATATATATATATATATTTTTTATACATGTATAAAATTTTTATTAATATATAATGATATAAATGATATATAATAAATATATTATCATTTTTTGTGACTATCAACTTTTTAGACAAACAGGTTTCAATCATTAATTTTATACGTGATCTCTAACATTATTCATATATAAAAAACTTAAATAAAAAACATATATAAAAATAAAGTATTTTTATATGCAGTTCAGAATAACATGTGTGATATTTCATCATAACAATTGGATTTGTGTGTAGAATATTCGTGGAATATTATAAGTGATCGTATTTTGCTTGATCAGTTCTATCGAAATGAAAAGTTTTTATATATTTTTCCACAATTATATTTGTATTTTTCATATTCTTTTATTAATTATAATATTTATATAATTTTTTAATAATATCGTCATATTTTTTTAAATCTCACAAATATATATTATAATGTAAATATACACAAAATATTAATTAAAAATTTTCAATTAGTAATACTTATCAATAAAGATTTTATTGTTAAATAAATTTAAGATTTGAATACTGTCTATTTTTTTTTATTTTTTTAATTAATTGAATTTTTGAATTGTACAAAAAATATATATAAAAATAAAAAGCTTTTTTTTAATAATTAATATACTACAATGTTCAATGTTCATGACGCAATTTATTCTTCAAGAACAATTTAATTTTTTTCTGTTTTTTCATATATAGGTTATATTAAAAAAAAATATTAAAAAATTTAATTTAAAAATATTTAAGTTAACAACAGATAAACATAGTCAAATTTTATCAACGTTATAAGATTTTTATAGCATTATAATTTTAAAATATTAAATAAATTTATAGTATTTTATTTATTTAAGTGATAATCAAACTAGAGATTTAAACATATGAACCATGACAAATTCCTTATCTAAAAAATTAAAATTTTATGTTCATTGATCAATAAGCGAAATATAATCTCAAAAATAAACATTAGCAAAATATTAGAATTAATTAATGTTAAAAATAGATATTGTTAACAAAGAATATATTAAAGCATTGGATAATTTAAAAAAATTTTTAAATGAGAAAATTATATTAGTTTTAATGAATATTATATGGTAAAAGCTTGCTAAGAATCTGAATAAAAAAAAATTTATATAAGAAAGATATTTCGTCATTTTTTTTTTTTTTCAATCAAATGATGAGTCTGTATAAAATTTAAAAATTAATTTTTATTTTGCCATTATAGATAAAGTAAAAATTTCTACAGAAAAAAGATTCACTTATCTACTTATAGATATACAATATTAAGATATTTAATTTATATTTATTTTATAAGATAGATTTATTTTAAAAATATTTTGTTGCATGGATTTGGAAATTTTTTTATAAATAAATGTAAATAACATTGTAAAAAAAACTTGAACTATTTAATAAAACATCAAGTTTCAGAAAAAAATTTGCCATCAAAAGAATCTTTAATTATTTTAGATTATGTCATTAATAATAAATTAATATCTTCATTTCCTAATTTTTGTATAATTTTAAAAATTGCTTTTTTTATCTTATGTTGTAAAGTTAAAAGAAAGAAATTGTTTAAATTAAAATCGATTAAAAATTATTTTAGATTGCTAAAAAAAATGCAAAAAAAAATGAACTAGTTTTGCATTATTTGTATAAAAAAATGGGAATTTAAATTTATTGAAAATAATTAAGGAATTTGTATTATGAAAAACAATAAAAATAAATTTATAATGAAATCAATTTATTTTACTTATATTAAACTAAATGTTAACTATTTTCATTATATATTTATAAAATAAAATATATTAAAAAATCTTAAAAAAAATTTCTTTTTAAATCTTTGTTTCACTTTATAGAAATAAAAATTAAAGAATATTTTTTTGATATTATAACAGTTTACTTTTATAATATAAATACTGCATATCAAATCTTTATAATAATAATATTAAATATTATTTATAATATTATTATTTTTAAATATTATTTTTACAATAATTCAAAAATAGCATTAAATTTATACTGTATATATATATTAACGAACGCAAATTTTAATTTTCTTTTTCCTATCCTTAAGATCATACATATATGTAAAACATTATCGCGAATATTTCTTATATATATCTTTTTATATATCTTATATGTAGTATAATAAGAAAATATAATTTATATTGTTCAACAATCTACATCATACATATTCTTATTTTCAGGAAATAAACCACCACGAAAACTTACATGGGTAACAAGGAACAAAAATAGGCGAATATAGAAAGTAAATATTCGCTGTGGAGAAATTCACTTTGAAAGGATGACAACATTTCTCCTTTTACGTACAGATTAGTCACGTGTTATTTTTTTCGACTGTGTTATTTATTTCGATCATGTTTTGGTTGATTTTTACGTAACTTTCATCATACAATAAAAGTAAATGTCCTTGCGCGATAGCTTAGATAAATGGAGCATTGGTATATGAAGCATATGAAGTTGATTGTACACACGTGCCATTACAACATTATGTATCATGTGCACAACGTAAAGTTAGATCATTGCCTCGTACCAGAATTGATGTGGTTTTTGTGATTAGTTATGCTTTCGTCTTTATGCGATATTGATGAAATGTCATTATTAATTTTAATACGATGTTAATAATAATTTATTTATCACTTAATGTATTAATTTTTCTATAAATATATATTTATTATCAGTTTAGATATAGTATTATATATTAATTATATATATATAATAATTGATGTATAGATGAAATTAAAATTTATATTAAATAATAAAATTTTGATAGAAATGTTTTATAAATTTATCTACCATATTTGTATATTTAAATTTTAAAACTTTTTATTTTTACTATTTTATTTTATATTTATTACTTATATTTATTATTTTTTTTATTCGTAAAATATTTTTGACATTTTATATACATTTAATTATATACATTCAATAAGTTTCTTATAATTTAAAATTATTATAATAATATAATTTATTTATTATATTAAATATTTGTATATTTAATTTATATATATAATTATATATATACACATTAATATCTGTATTTTCACTATATTTATGTTTGCTATTGTACTTATTTAATATACAATATATTATTATTATATGATGTTACTATTAGTTATTATTTTTATATAATATTGTGTATATTATTCATATATTATTTGATTATTTATATTAACTATTATTTATAGATTTAATAGATTATATCTATAAAGTTTTATTTCTAAAATTTTCGAAGAAAAAAAATGGAAAATTATTTGAAAAATTGTTTAAAAAATGATTTCTGTTCCTATAAATTTATTATAAAATATTGGTTATATCAAGAGATTGAACAAAAAGTACAAGGCGAGAATAATGCCATTTTTAAGAGAAGAATTTAGAAGACCTTCGAAATTATATATTTATTAAAAACACTTCGATGTGGAATTTGAAATATTTTCCAACCAATCTCAACGACAAAAAAAGCAAACATTCGCGAATAAGCGACTCTATGGGTGCCTCCTCAGTTTAATTTTAGAAATTTTCCTTAAGTTGGGGGGTATTCACGGTCCACAGTGTTATTGGCCGTTTGTGTATCCCACCGAAAACCTGTCGCAAGATGAGCATGGAAGGGGATACGAGCGTTTTAATAGAATTTTTTTAAAATCAAAACTTTTTTAACCTCAGAACTTCTCCAACCTCTGAACTTTACTTTATCTAAGAATCTCCTGAACTCATGAATTTTGTAACCTCGAGCAAACAGAAGAACCTTGTGAATTCAGTGATAAACATAAACTTTCATTAGCATATGAACTTTGTTCTTGATTGTTTTAGAATGAAACTTTGTAAAAAGCAAACTTTAGAATAAATTAATTTTTTTATATTATACGTCATAGCTCCAGGACCGAGTTGGAGTTAACATTTTGATCTTTTGAGCCAGATTCGAATATTTACCAAAAATTTAAAAAATGTAAAGTGTAAAATTTGTCGTGCTGTTAGTGCAACACAAAAACTCTAAGAACATCACAACACGCTACATAATCAAGTACATAATCATTCTGCTCGAATTCTGCCAGGCAATCTTCAAGGATGCTTGCCTTCTGCCGAACTCTAGAGATCAACGAACTCTGGGACATTTTCACGCAATATACAAGGGACACACTAACTGAGTGACATCGCCTTGATCATTTCAATCTACTTTTCCGTAAGTCCTCTTTATCTAAGACAATATGGATGCGGCATTGAAATATCTCATTAGAGAATACAAATCTATGTTGATTCGCTTCAAATTTTATTTCGAAATATATGATTGAACTTTGGATATCCTCCTCGATTAAATAAAATAATTCTTTAAAAAATTCTTTAATGTGGTTCAAAAGACCATAGAAGAACGGATAGAAAGTATGGAATTGGAAACAGCTCATGCAGAGATGAATTGAATACTACCAAGCCCAATGATAATGATCTGATTGACAATCTGGATTGTACCTGCCGGCGTATTTACAACGTCAAATAATAATATTGATATATATTTTAGAATCAAATTATTAATAATAGAATCATTAATTAAAATTAAGTACGGAGACATATTCGAGCTATCAGTACACAACAATAATGCAATGATAAACATTGAAAAATTCTATTACTTGAAAGAGTTCTTTCAAAGGTATTGCAGCAAGAATTATACAATCTCTCGGCGTTCCTAAAATTATGCAAACGGCATTAAAAACAAATTCAAGGACAAAAAATTACTGAAAATTACATAAGAACACTTTGAGACTTATCTATTGAATAAAAAATCGTTTTATTGATTAAGACGGTTACTAAACATCATAAACAACAATCTATTAGCATTGCAAGTCTTAGGATTAGAATCTATAAGCTACTGGAACACTATTATTATTCATATAATAAAACAGTTAAATTAGATGCAATGACAAAGAAAAACGGACATCAAGCATACTGATTGACGTTAAAATTGGATTTAATAAAATTTTCAAACCTAGATATTTAGAAACGATAACTGTAGAAAAATCATTTCTCATAAACGCAGGTACTCGAACGTACGTATACTGCAATTTCACAAACTTTGTTTTATGTAATAAATCGCACAGTCTTTCAAAATGTGCTGATTTTATAAATTTTTAGACGCGTGTTTTAATTGCCTAACAAAACTTGTGACACAATACTATAAGAAACACAATATTATATACTTTTGTGTAACAAAGTATAATATATAACAGAGTATAAATTGAACCCGTAACAATCATTGCATCTTTACCTTTGACAATAATAAATAAGAGAACAACGAACGAGACACAATAGAGAAAATCTGCGGCTATTATATTTTTTACAATTATTTATGTCGAGTGGAACATCAAGTGGAGTTTTATAACAATAATAAGGAATCAATACGGATTCAGACACGAGTGCAATGCATTGTTAAACTTGAATTTTATCGATAGACACATCTTAGGTTCTAATAATCTTATTCAATAAAAAATCTAACTGAAATAATTATCACAAGTAAATTTAGAATTCTATTGCGCAAGCAAAAATACATTCATACTATTACAATATATTAATGATGAACGATCTCACAGAACAAGATCTCTTAGAACAATTATTCGAATAATCGAAGATTTAGATTGAATAAATTGGATTCAACAAGAAATACTTTGTAAAATAACAAATCGTAACAAGCATGAATGTTTCATCAGAAAAATATTAAGAATGAATAAACTCAAGAAATTAAAACAAAAGAATGTCATTATCATGATAATTATTGTACAGAAGAAACAATGAATAAAAAATAATAGAAGAAATCATAAGTTTTTTTATCGGAATGATGTGATTCCTCGAAGTCTATAAAAATTGAACTAATGATAACATTGTGATAATATTGTATTAAATTCTACGCAACGAACAAGAAAATTTCTGCGGAAAAATAATGTAATCACAACTTTCAATATTAGAATTGATAATAAAATGAAATTATTATTAAATTTTATGGATATTTATCGTATTTTATCTCCATTGCACTCGATATATTTATTTTCGTGCGTATGTAAATTTTTCAAGATGGATACATTCAGAACACGATTTTTCAAATGGTAATTTTCTTCATAAATTTTATTTAAAGATTTCTTTCAGAAGAGCTTTCAAATAAATAGAGATTCAAACAATAGACTGTCGTGTAGCATATTTTTGTAATCCTCTGCTACCTGCGGTATGAACTTGAGGATGAATACTTTACGAACATACTTTGACCTTGACTTTTCGATTTATTGTACGAGGGCAATAGACCACACTAACAATCTAGGCAACCTAGGCTAACTAAAACTTATTTTACCAAAACTAATTTACAAATCAAATTATTGAAAAAAAAATTAATAATTTGTATAAAAAACAAAATACAAATTTCACGAACGAAGAAATATAATACAATGATGTATAATCTTTCCTCGTGCACTCCTCCATTTAAAGCATTTATGGAAAAGCATTATGAATTATACTTGAAACAAATTATCGAGGACACGATATTAATATATGAGGAACTGTATATTGTCTTAATACAAATAGAAGCAATTCTTAATTCCTCTAAGTCCCTTATTATTCGACTCTAATGATTTAATCCCTCGATCACTTTCTAGTGATTTACTCTATGCTTCCCTTAAATTTGACCTGTAACGAAGAACAGACTGAACAGATTCCAGATAATCCAGCAAAGTGTACATTTTTGAAGACGATGGCAGAATGAATACCTACGACTAGAACAATGCAATAAATAATGTAACAACAGCAAATTTGGACTTGGAGAGAATTATAAAGGATAATCTTTTCCTTCTATAACGACTATATCTTGGAAGGAATAAAACTATCAAAATAGGAATAAAATAACGGCCAATGGGACAATTAAAAGACCGTTGAAGGTTTGCAATCTGTTTCTCGAACGAATAGAATTTTAGAACCTTGTAAATTCAATGGTAAACATAAATCTTATACTTTATAATAATTTTGTTCTTGAACGTTTTAGAATAGAACTTTGTTAATAGCGAATTTTGTAATAAATCAATTTTATTGTTATGTAATATAGTTCCAAAAATAAATTGGAACTAATAGATTAATTGTTAATTGCAATTCATATAATTAATAATTAATCAATGAATAAAAATACTTAATCGTGATTAATTATTATTTTTGCAGAATATAGTCGTTATTTTTGCATATACTAAAATTTTTAATAAAAATATACTGCTATTATCATCTGAAATTCATTAATAAGTTAAATAAAATTGAATAAGAATTTAAAAAAAATTTTTTCAAAAAATAAAATTTCACAAAACATGCACATATAATTTAAAGTTGTTTTATCAATCTATTTATATCAAAGAGAAAAAAAATTATTATTTATGAATACTAATTATGAATATTAATTTAACTAATTTAAAATATTAAAAAATTAAAACGAAAAAATTGAGATTGAAACTAATAATTATTTTTATTTTTAATATTTCGAGCGATTCTACATGCAAAAAGCAAAAAATTGTGATTTT